TTATTATATATAGTAATAATATTATAATAAATAAATCCTACAATTATCTTACTCTTAAAACTGTCGATTCGTCTCATTCTCTCGAAACCTAGATTTTTGAAGGTTTCACTTCTAACACGTGTGATCTGCACACATGATTTTTTTTATTCAGGATTTTATACGGTTATGCATAACCGTACTTGTAAAGACCCTACACTTTATCCATTACTTTATACTTGTATAATTATAAGTGTTTAGCATTAACTACGAATGGACGTCTCATTCTCTCGAAACTTAGATTTTTGAAGGTTTCACTTCTAACACGTGTGATCTGCACACATGATTTTATGTAGCTAGCTCTTAGACCATGTGACGGAAAAATAAAATTTGAAAATGCTTTCCCCCTTGGACTTGGCTTTAAAATCGTTGTAGTGTTTTATAAGTGTGAAAATCGTGTTAATGGTGTAGTTGGCAGCAAGCGCTAGCAACAGACACATTATCTTCTGATGTTGCTGTAACTTTACCAGCTGATGTTGGTGAAGCTATATATCCAATTTATGAAGACCTTAGAAACGTAAAATTATTAGAAAGGTGTGTTGGTGGATTTACACAAAACAATAATGAGAGTTATAATCAGTTAATATGGAAAATAACTCCAAAAATTGTTCCATGTGGCTCTAAAGTTGTTGAAATAGCGGCTTACATTGCAGCTGGAATGTTTAATGAAGGTACAAAATCATTATTGTACTTTATGAGTGCATTAGGACTTTCATTAATCACCACAGCTCATGCTTATGTCGAAAAAGAGGACGCAGAGCGTGTGATGATCTCCGACGCGAGAGCGTGTGATGATCTCCGACGCGAGAGCGCATGGGAGCACGCGAAAAGGAAGAATGGCTCGACGCAACACTAGCTGAACTTAATAAAAGCTACCGATACGGCAAAAAGTCCCTCTTAAGGCCCTGGAATAGCTGATACCATGTAAGTTGAAGAAAAAAAATTTAAACTATGTGTAAACTACTTCTGAAACTTTAAACGCGTTTTTCTCAAAACGGTGTTTTCAAAGTCGGTGATCTCGATTTTTTAGAAATGGCTCAACCGATCGGTCTCAAATTTTTACACAATCTTCTTAAATATATTCCTTATAGGTATAAAAACAAAGAAAAAAAATTTTTTTTAATTATTACTATTTTCTTTTATCAATTTGGAGCGAAAATTTCAGTCAAAAATGAGACAATGAGACACTTTTTTCAAATAGACGCCATTTTGTCAAAAATTAAAATTTTTATTACTACTACGTTCTAATACCTGCATTAATCTATCCTTTAAAAGAATCCACAATAATTTATGATTTCAGATAATCCAAACCGCCGATATAGAGCCAAGCGCCTTTTTTTGGAGGTCGTTCGGGAGATCATCTACAGGAGCGGTGCACATCAATATTTTTACATAATCGATGCGTTATTGTATTCTTAGAAGTAGGCTCTATTTGAATTACCATCACTTTATGGTAATTAATAAATAAAAACTGTTTCTATAAAAAATTCATAAAAAGGCGTCTTTTTTGACCCTCGCAACTGAGTATAACCCCTTAACTAATTAATTTACATGTTTACAATTATTAATGTTGAAATATTAAATTTATTGCGTCATGTATACGATTAGATTTACTTTACCGAGCGGATGTCGATGACAAAGACACGGCTAATCGGTGAAATAAGCTGTTTAAGATTAAAACTGCAGAAAGAAATCGCAGGATAAAAGGTGTAGAGTTTCAGCCGAGATAAGCGACCGATAAAGGCAGTCGAAATAAAGAGTGGGAATGTAGTAGGCATAATAGGAGGACGAAATATGTTAGTCATAATAGAAAGTCGATATGCGTCTGTCGGAATGAAGGGTTGATGTAAGTGAATCGAACGATTGTCATTGAAGAAGAAACATGTAACGCAGCATAAATATATTTTAAATAACGAATAAATTTAACATGGCAACAAGAAAATTTAAAAATTAATTTGACATTGTGTAGAGTATGTGAGTGTTGCAAAAGCTTAAACATCGTTTCAAAATCTGATTAGGAATTGTCATAATCAGTATTTAGAGAAATGGAAAAGGAAGGGTAGCACGTTATTTCATAACAGCTTGTGTATTTGTTCTTAAGGATGTAATTGCTATTTAATTTCTGAATAGGGGTTAGGGAAAGATGGTTACGGATTTGAGAAGCAGGAGCAAGTTGAGCAATAAATTTATTGGAATTGGGATTTGTAGTAATAAAAGAATTCTGATTGTTCGATTTCTTTAAATTACTCATAAATGATGGTCACTTAGAATAATTGGCCGGATGGACCTTTGCAATTGCAATATTTAGCCATAGTATTAGGAAGCTTTTTGCAAGTGCGTCGGTCATGAAGCTCAACGCATTTGACATATTTGTAATTTTTATTACAATTTACATATATATGACCATGAACTTAACATTGAAAATATTGTATACAAGGTTTATCTCAGTTTTACTTTTCTCAATAAATACTTATATTAGAATACTTATAGTAGAAAATAAAAAGTGCTTTTTTAATGTAATAGTGTAATTCAAGCCTTAAAAGTAATTTCATAAATTAAATAAATCAAGAAAGGATTGTTTTGAATTTCTTAGCACAAAAGAGAATTCAGGTTATAATTTTTGAGTTTTTCAATTATACCATCAATTTTTAATAGTTCTTTCAGTACTAGAGTGAGAATTTTTTCTTGTTCTGTTGAGCAAGTATGAAATTATATCCATTTTTAGGTAGTAGTTTTCTTTTGCTTACTTACTTGAATGTAATAATGGAGAAGATACCAGCATGCTCTCGTGGATTTTCCACTTCAATTCTTTTATTCTTGTCCATAGTTAAACTTCTTTAATCGCAGTGATACTCAGTTCATTCTTGTTCAATATACGAGAAAACTGTTATCAGAAAAACAGAACAATCTGTTAACACAATTATCTAAAAGAATTAAAACTTTATTAGTAAAATGATCGTAAATCTTGTGAAATTAAAAAATTTAGTGCATCACTATCTCGTTTACTTATTTACTCGAGTTATCTTCTATTCATCAATGAAATAAAGTTTTTTTTGTTTATTAATAGCACGAGAACAAATAGAATGAGTGGCATAAATTCCTGTAAGTTCTTTATGATAGTTTTGCTTACAAATAGACGAAAAAAAAATCATATCATTTGTCAATGAAAAAAATCATGTGTGCAGATCACACGTGTTAGAAGTGAAACCTTCAAAAATCTAAGTTTCGAGACAATCTGACGAATGCACGGTTCAAGAGTAAGAAAATTGTAGGATTTATTTATTATAATATTATTACTATATATAATAAAGGTCACCGGTATGGTCTCTGGATGGAATAGCTGATAAGAAGTACACTTTTCCAAATTCAAGCAATAAAAATGGAATGTTAAATGAGATAGTTATAGATAGACACCAAAATCGTAGGATGTTTATCAAAGGAAATATAGTTCGTCACAAATTAGGTAAATATAAATAATCCTTTTTTTGAAAATCAGGTATAAATTTTTTTTTGTTAGTATGGTTTTCTATTTCCCGTTTTCATCTACATTCTTGCGCTGATAACAAACATTTTAGGATAGACAAAATAAATACGTTACGAAAAACATATGGAAAATACTGCTGGACTGAACGAAGGTTCAGGTCAAATGCAATGAAAGATCTAATAAAGATATTCTCTAGAAATGTTTTTTCAACTCTGCAGCCTACCACACTTCGCGAGACCCTTATTATTTATAACATATCTCGTCCTTATTCTTT